TTTAATACAGAAGGGCATCTGATCACTAGTGTATTTGGAAGCTGATGTTTTCTGAACGATATTCATATTCACAGGAAATCGTGCATGTAAATGCTTCTTTATTTTGTAAACACAAATGAACTAAAATCTAATTTCTGTAATCATAATTACCACGTTTTCATATGTAAATACAGATTCCATTAGTAAAATAAATGATTGCCTTTAGTATTATAAGTAGATGCAGCAGCTGTTTACCGCACTGGAAAGACAAACTGTTTCAAATGTTCACATTCCAAAAAATAGATTTCTAGTTGTACAAGAACCAAATCATCCTCATTTGAAATTATGCAGCAAGCATGGCAGATCATTGCCTTCAGCCAACAATCAACAGCTTCAGCTGCTTTCCCTTTCTTCAATCTATCTTTAGCGAAGTCAACCCTCTGAGGCTCAACACTGCACATGAAATCACTTTTCAAGAACACGACAGGGTGGCTTCCATGTTCTCGATGAACTGCGCTTCCCTCAGGCAGCAAAGCAATAACTATCTTCTAGCACAGCAATCAGTGGGAGGTTTCTGGCTTTTGACTGGCATTCCTGTACCCTGTTCACTAAGACTTCAGACAGAAAAATACAAATTCTATATATTAAATCTTCTCGATGTTACATAAGACAAAGTAAAATGAAGTCAAGATTTGTTTTTTTTTTATATTAAACAAGCAGAGCTACAAACAGTCTTTGCATTCATTTTGAGACTGGGAGAATCTTGCTGCCAAAACATCTTTATTCAATGTTCCACAATTGTCAAAAATGCCTTAAAGAAACATCATAACAAATATGGTATGTGTGGCTTGATCAATCTATCTTTCTATCTATCTATCTATCCATCCATCTTTATCTATCTATTCATCCATCTATCCCTCAAAAGAATGCCAAAGTTCGTGTTTTGGTCGAACGTTATTGGTTTAAATGGACTCAGTAACATATTTTCTTACCTGGCTCAACTCTAACACAGCACAGCAAAACAGGAGCATTAAGAAAGACTTGCTAAGCTTATTTATAAATTTGCCCCTGCTCAGACATAGCACGGCACCAATTCCAATCCATTGTGTAATGGTGCATGTGTTTCAGGTGGAAAACTGCCATAAGAAACATGTTAAATCTGTCACAGCTGTTTACAAAACTGTTGTAGGGACATGTTGTAAAGACTGTATAGGACTGCAAGTTAAGGGACTTAAAATACTCATAAAAGCTATCACCCATTCGGCTCATACAAGCTTGATGAATCCCCCTCATTTGGTGCAGGGATTGGTCACTTAGCTTAATAAATAAGGCAATTAACCAAACTTTCAACAGAATTGACACATTGGTCGTCCCTTCCATTATCCCTATTTGGCAGGAGTCACTTAATAAAAATGATGAGCTTCCCTAAGCTACTTTATCCACTCCAAACGATCCCAATACTTTTAAAACATAAAGATGTTAAACTCCTTGAATCAGCTTACACTAAATTCTTATGGCGATCAAAACGCCCCCGTATCGCTTTGCGACAATTGATGTCTCCTAAACCAGAAGGGGGTATGGGTATTCCTAACATTCGTGCATATAATCTAGCGTGCCTGCTCAGACACTCTTTTGACTGGATCAGCGGTCTCTCACGCTACTCCAATCTGGCACTGGAACAGGAACTGGTGGCACCGTGGTCGCTAGCGGCGGTTCTTCATACTAGACTCTCCAAACTCCCTTCTCACCTAAAAAACAACCTGATTATCAGAGACACGGTGGTGGCCTGGAGGGAATCCAGACTAAAGTTAGATTCGCATCCCTACATATCTCAATACTTGCCTATCAGAGGTAATCCCCAGTTCCTATCGGGACAAGCACACGCCATCTTCCGGGACTGGACAAGCAGGGGCATCACGACTCTGACTAGCCTTTTTGACACGGAGTCACAGAAGCCATACTCCTTCTCCTCCTTCTGTGCCCGTTATAATATCTCCAAAACACATTTTCTCCACTTCTCCCAACTGACACACTACTGGAAGAGTGAAACACGAAACCCCTCCTATATATTGAAGACCAATATTTTAGACCCCCTCATCCTCTCCCAAAACTACTCTATCTCTATGATCTACCCCCGTCTCAACACTGCTTTCCTACTACAACCGTCAAAATCCTCAGTAATGAAATGGCACAAAACATTCCCGGCAGATGACTTTTATGACAAAATGCTCCAAGGGTATCAGAATGTCAGAAGTTGCACAACGAACGAGCTCTGGAGAGAGACGCAATTTCGCATTTTGCATAAAGCATACTATGGCTACGTGTAATGTACTGTATTCTTACGGTCACATGGTGACCTTGTTTAAACCTAAATAAAATATTTTGGAAAAAAAATAAATAAGGCAAAGGTGTGTTTAATTGAAATATCCAATCATGTTTAAGGTCCAACTCTGGACAGAATAAAACGTATCCCTTGCAGTGGGGTTACCTCCGTACTGCAAGGGTTTAGTGCTCATGTAAAATAAAAGATATACTTGGTCCTGCCTACTGCTAGACCGGTCCCTGCAGCCTCTTCTCCCTCTGCCCTCCAGCGGTCTAAGGATCCATTAGTCATTACATCTAAAACAGTGTATTAGAGTGAGGAAGCCGATGGACATTTCACCACTGGATCGGAGGGGTAGTGAGGCTGCAGGGATTGGTCTAGCAGCAGACAGGACTGAAGTTTGAGTGAGTACAGCTTTGTTATTTTAGACCCTAGGCAAAAACAAGCAATTAACCTTGTGATGGTAGTCCCACTGCAAGGGTTAAGTTTTATTCTGCCTGGAGTTCTTGTTTATTTGTTTTATTTCCCCTGCACTTAGGAATTCCTAAGAACTTAGCCTCAATATATACTTTATTCAGTGAACATATAAACTACTACATGAACAGTCTCTACTCATTTAGCAAATCAGCCCTAATGAGTTGTTATGATTTGCACAAAAAAATCAAACAATGTCACTACTTACAATTAGGTCATTTATACAGCAAAATATGATATAGACAATTTGATAGCGTTTGTAAATTTACCTTTACAACTGGAATATTATGTCTTACAGTGCAATAAAGTTGTCATTTTCTGATATTCAGGCACTCAGATACTTCACTATTGCACTATAAATACAAAATATCTATATACTTTTATCAAACAGCAATAGGAAAACACCCTTTTTCTCAGTTACAGTCATAAAGCACCACCATAGATAGCCACAATGCTTTGCAGTAGCTTGTTGAGCACTTAAGTAAGCTTTTCATTAATAGTTATCAAATATATTGAAAATATATATTATTTCCTTACAAATTGTTTCAATGTTTCTGCATACAAACGTATTTGGTTAGTTAAGAGTAAATTGTAAGACAATCAACAATTTAAATACACAATTAACAGGACCTGCTTGTGGCTTCATCTTAACATCTAATGCTGCAAAAAACAAACATTTCTTGGCTTTCATAGGTCATAACAGTACTGTAAAACTGGGGAATTCATCCCCTCAAAACCACAGCGAGGTATTAGTCATCTGAATCGTTCTTGTGCTATAGTTATGACTAGGGCTGTAATCCAACCCAGTAGCATTCTGTCAACATTTTCAAAGTGTCATCAGCTAGCAGGATCATTCTAGCTGTGCCATATACTGCACTGTGTGCAACCAGACTACATTTACAGATCTAATATATTGGAAAGTATCATCTTAGGCTTTAAATTACTTGTTTAAGCACTTGCTGACCAGGGTGTTTATACCCCCTTCCTGTCCAGGCCATTTTTCAGTATTCAGCGCTGCAGTACTTTGACTGACATATATTCTGTCATGCAACGCTGTACTGAAATTAATTTTATACAATTTTTTGGGGACAGATAGAGTTTTCTTTTGGTGGTATTTAATCACCACTACAGGGTTTTTTTTTTACTATATAATGAAAAAAGTACCGTAAATGTTGAAAAAAAACCTGTTATCCCTACGTTATGTTATAAAACATTTATTATTACCCAATTGTTTGGTACAATATAAAAGACGGGGTCACGCCGGGTAAATAGACACTAAACATGTCAAGTTTTAAAATTGCACGCACCCGCTAAATCGCAAAAAATTACCATACTAAAAGTTGACCATATCCGACGCTTTAAAAGCTTTTACCGCTCATCAGTTTAGTGTTATCAGTGATTGATGGCCCTAGAAATATTGCTCTCACTCCGACGTTCGTGGCAATATGTAACATGTACGGCGCAATGGATGTAATCGTCGTTTTTGCATGCAGACGGCTCGCGCACGTTTGAGTGTGCATGTTGGGGCGGGGGACTTTCATTTTTTTTTTTGTATTGCTTTAATATGTGAGACTTTTAATTTTTTTTGTAAAGCTACATTTTTTTAAACCTTTTGTTTTTCACTTAACTTTATTGCTATCACATAGGGAGCAAACAAGCTCCCTATGTGATAGCCAATTTGCAGTGATGGGTCCTCTTTATGGAGACATCAGGGGTCTTTAAGAACCCAACTGTCATCTTGGAACCCCCAGATAAGCTGATGAAGCAGAGACCTGCTTCACCAGCTTCTCTCCAGTTTCTGTACCGGAGAGTGACAGAGGAATGCGGAAGTGATGCAATACACATCACTGCCTGCATTCCGACGAGAAAGAGCTACTGTGCCACACCGGGCACAGTGGAGGTCGGGATCGCCGGCGGCAACAGAGGGGGGGGCGCACACCCGCAGGCATATTACAATCGATGCTTGTATGTAAACAGCCATCGCTGGCTGTTTAGATTCAAAGCTGATTTCCTGTTCGTGCGCGCCACCTAGCGGCAGGCACGAGTTGGACGGGATGGGACGTCTAAAAATGCCCACCCGCATTCAAGAAGCCGCTGTCCGGCCGTTTAATTACAATGGCCGGACAGCAGGTGGTTCAAAAAACCTGTTAAAAGCAATATGTGACTGTGTGATGATCAAAGGCAAAATAGAATACAGAAAACAAATATCAGCGGTTGATCTTACCATCTGGAGGCATCAAGACTTTGTTATTTTGTGTACACCAACCAACAGGGTGTAGGTCTGCCGTCATGACATCACACCAGAAGTCTGCCCTGCGATCTTCCCCATAGCCGCAATACCTCAGCAGAAGTAACTGTCCACATGTCGTAATGATAGTTGCAACCCAGTATGTATCTGGATTATTCTTATTGGCCACTTCCAGTTTCATTCCTGGTTGGAAGCTGCTCTGAAGACTGATTTCCACCTAATGAAACATAAGGATGTATGAACATAAATTCAATTGAAAGTATGTAATGCACTGAAAACACTGTTGGAAGTTAACATTTTCAGTTAAACCCATTACTACCTGGTAGAAAATTGTACAATTATATTAATAGGGACAGGACTCTGAACCAATAGGAGCTCTATTGGTCTGCATTATGCTGTCTGAACAAGCTTAAAGTGCTAATAAAGTCAAAAGTTTTTTTTAGCTATTTCCAATGCTGATGAAATCACTTACAATGGATGCTGTTCTTTAATGCTTAAAAGCTGTAGTTTCCTGCAGAATCAGCTGTCCTCTGAGCACTGGCCCAGATATCCTATTTTAGGGTGGCTCATTTCACTTGCAGGGTCCTATGTTACCCCCTTTGTGTGCTACTAAGTGTGTGTCTCACCAAACACTCAGGCACAGGAGGGAAGTCACTCCCCTGCTCCCCCTCCTTCCTCCACCTTTCTCCAACCTAGAAGATGAACAGCTGCCAGAGACTGCTCTGGCCCTTGTGATCTCGTGCTAGACAGGAAGTTCAGGCAAACCAAGCTGGAAGAGTTGGAGCCAGCTGTTCAGAAACATAATGGGAGTGATTAATTAAAACTAGAGCAGACAAAATCTGAAGCAGTTGCCCATGGCAACCAATCAGCTTCTCTCTTTGATTTTTAAATCTCAACGGAACATACTGAAGAGAGAAGCTGATTGGTTGCCGTGCACAGCTGCTCTACATTTTGTCTGCTCCAGTTATGATAAATTCCCCTCAATGACTAAGTGCTTGGGTGAAAATGTAAAAAAAAATATTTGCTTTTGAACTGGATTCATTATTGAAAAACAAGTTTGAGAATGTAATACTATTTTAAAGAATAGGAGACCTCAGAGTTCACCACATCAGTGTGCTACTACTCCTTCACTGTCCAATTAGCAGGAAAGGGTGAGTCTTGGGGCAGGATGTATGTATGTATTTTATATTGGATAAACGCCAGGCAATTTTATCAACCCATGGGCAACATTGACACTGTCAGTCATTTTCGTTATCAAGAAGCGATGAAATAGCATTTTACTAATTCCCCCTGGTGTTTAATATATACAGTGTGTAAGACATATATATGTCTTATATTTTTTTGGGCTCAAAAAAACCCCACTAGGTCTTATTTTCGGGGTACGTCTTATTTTTTTTATGTACAACAATCCACACTTATTCATGTAGAAAAGTCTACATGTATTCATGTACAAAAATATGGTGATCAGGGCATTCAGGGGTGCTGTACCTTTCCAAGAGCAATTTGCTAACCAATTGCTGGCCAGAATTAGTGAAGCGCACTTTCACTATCGATTCCTCACAGGTGGAGTGCATTTGATATCACTCCGCTTGTGACAGGAGCCGGCGCTATAGAGGAGTCATTGGCTTATGCGGCTCTGCTCCCTCCGGTGCCGCCTTGCTTCCTCTAGAGCTGGCTTCGTTGGCACCGCTGATTCTCTCCTGTCTCTCTCGCGGCTCTTCAAGTTCCCCCTTATGCCACCACAGGCCCTGGGAATAGTATCACTTTTGGCTAAATGCCGAAAGTGCAATTTTCCTGCCGATACATCGGTGCATCCATGCTTTCTTTCCTCCCCGCTGGGCGCTGCTCTGTGTCCCAGTGGGGAGGAGAGAAACTGTGACAGCCGGCCATGCGCTGCGGCGTCTCTCCTCCCACACTGCTCAGCCTTCTATCACGGTCCAGCAGAGCGGTGTGTGGGCGGAGACAGCCCGCACGGTCACAGGAGGCTGAGCTCTCCTCCCACACCGCCCCACTCAGCCTCCTGTAACAGCGTGTCAGAGAGAAGAGCGGGTACAAACACTCAGCGATCAGTGATCGCTGAGTGTTTGCAGATAATGGAGGACATGGTATGTGTATTAATAAAATATTTCATTCTGAATCAAACTGCTGACATTTAAAATGCTAAAGAGAGATGTTAGTTTGAAATCACAATGAGCTTCAGTCTGAAACATTAGAAAAGTAAACTGTATTAAGTAACATAAAAAGGAAGTGCTGGCTAACCAAGGGTTCTTTGAATTTGCAAGTAAACCTACTTGCTTTGATGTTTGATTTGCTTTGTGATAGCAATTTCCAGGTATTAGCTAACATTTCCCTAATGTGGCGTATACTAGTGCAGAATACTTACATGTCTGAAAGAGGTGTGTGGTGCAGAACTTGATGCTGTTTCCTCTAGATATTCATCCCAGTTAAAATCTGTATCTTCAACGCTGGAGCCATCATCTACAAAAGTATAATACAATAACAATTAATACGTTTAACTTACATGATAAATTCTTGTAAGCAGAGTGTTGCACGGTTGGTCAAGCAACAGGTTTATTTTAGTAATGGCTCCACTCAACAGCAAATACTTATGATCCCTTTTTTTTCCTGCCACTCCAGTACTTCTGGGTATGTGATTCCTTTTTTTCCTCCTAAGTCAAAGCACTGGGGCTTGATGAGGGGCTGTTCAGACACCCATAGCTGTCGCATGGATGAGGGGAGAGTCCTCAGCCCCATGTAAGCTCCAAGTCCTGAGGCTAAATGTCTTTACTGAAAGTTGTGTCGGGAAGCACCGGAACCTGTGCTTTTCCCATGCAGGACAAAGGATCGGTTTATTTTAATGCTGGCTGCACCAATTACACCTATTCCTTTGCCCTGCATGGGAAAAGTTAAGTAGTCCCTGACTATTCTACTGCAGTTCTGCTTAAAGGTAGTCCCAGACACAGTGTTAGGTCTCTCTCTATGTTCTATATGCAGAAAATCATATGTAATGAAAGGGATCCTTTAAAGAGCAACTCTGGCAATCCGAAAATTAACCCTTGCAGTGGGGTTACCCCTGCACATCAAGGGTTAACTGCTTGTTTTGGTCTAGAAGTTCAAATAAAACAATATACTCACCTGATCCTTGATTCCACCTGGCTGCTAGATCACACCTGTCCCAGCAGCCTCTCCTCACCCAGGCTCCAGCAGTCCAAGGAGAGACATGCCCCAGCCAGAGTGGAGGAGGGGAAAGGTGAGCACTCACTGCCGCAGGACCAAGGATCAGGTGAGTATATCTTCTGTATTCTGGTCCCTAGTCCAAAACGAGCACTTAACCCTTGCAGTGTGGGAGTAGGCCCACTGCACGGGTTAACTTTTTAAATAACTGTAGTTCTTTTATCAACTGAGGTTTGTATGCATCTGAGAGACTTTCACTTGTGACAAAGTAAAAGAGAAAAGATAGAGTAGAGATGGGTTAACACCCCTGTTATTTTATTTTCCTGGTGCCTGTTTCCTGTTAGGGGGATTTCCTTTCAGGAAATTGAGGAAAACTCCACAAAGTGAATGAAATTCCAATATTTGAGAGCTGTCATGGGAACAGGGGCTCCTATTTTCCTCACCTTTTTATCTTGACTACTCTGAAAATTTGGATTTCCTAGCATTTTCTGTCTCTGTGACAAGGGCACCTGAACAAGTAGAGGTGTGAGTCTCCCTAGTAGGGACACAGACAGGAATAAAAAATCTGACAGAGGGTCTTATTCTTCCCACTGTAATCAAAACTTTATGTAAAAAATATGCCATTACATACACTTTAAAGAGTATTTTGTTGGTACAAGTACTGCAGCATGTGTGTGCAGTATATACACATCAAGTAGACTCTTGTTCAGTTTAAATATTTCCCTTTGGGCCACTCCCACTTTTTGCAACACCATGCCCTTCGCACCACAACGTCTTCTCCCATGTGCCCCAGGTCCCTGACAAACCTATCCATGCCCCAGCGTCTATTTCTATGAATCTTTTATTTAGGAAACACTTATCCAGGAAGTTTTGAAAGCTCTGTAAACCAGAAAGCAGAAATAAAAAATCTGCTGCTTACAAATATTAATGTCAAGAAAACAGAAATTAACATTTAGACTTTCCCTACACTCCCTGTGAAGAGAAATGAATCATGATTTTAAAGTGTTTTTCCACTTTTGCAGTCAAATTTGAGGAAAACCCCTCTATATGTTTGTTATATGTTCCCTTTACTACAGAATACCTAAAAATTATTTTATTTAAAATATTTCTTACTTTTTAGTCGTCTCTGTTGAGCAGGCCCTTGGGCAGACTACAAGCTTCTCTGTACATTTTTAAAGTGTCAGGAAACTCTTGCTGTCCCCATAGAAAGACTAGGGACACAATGGGCATCCTCTCATTAACATACAATGCTTCTAAAAACTTAACCCCTTGTTAGGACAGAGGTCAAATCTAGTTTACAACTGATAATGAGATCTGCTAGCACTGTACAGACAGGGTTAATTATGTTAACCTCCCCATCTCCCCCACTGCCCCTTCCTTTCCAGACGAATTCAGTATAAAGAGAAGAACAGGTATTATATGAGCAACATTTTTTTCAAGGTATGCTATGTAAATGAAAACTTGCAACAAATATAAAAACAGACATTATCCCAATTTGGCTGCAAAAGTGAAAATAATCTTCAAGGGAAACCAACATTTATTATCATTAATTTCACATTTTGAGTTATATTTGTAACACTTTGATGAGACTTGTACATGTTTAAGAGCCCAATCACACTGCTACTCCCTATCATTTTAGTTCACTGGTGCAGTTGCACTGTAATGCACTGTTTGTAATGCAATGCATGTTTTACAATGCTCTCCCAGAATGTATTAATATAAATGAGTCCTTAATGTTTTCTATTCTACATCCGCATGACTATAATGGTTTTCAGATCCTTTTTCTAGCTGTATATCTGGCACTGCTGTCAGCACCCTTGTTAAATACTAAAATAAAATCAGCTGTAGGATAGAGCCATTTTTACGGAAATCCTACAATATATTGGGAATAGTGGTGGATGTGGAAGGTAGATGAGATTACAGTCTATGAAGGTATAAAAAGGTATACAGAAGAATGAATTTACAATTCATAATTTACAAGGGGTAGACACATATGGTAAAAGAGCTGATAATCTATTAGGGTACAAGGGTATAATACAGAAGATCTGAGACATTGAGGCTCATTTACTAAGAGCTAAGAATCTATACACACTAAATTGTGAGACTATTTACTTAAATTATGCAATCATGTAAAAAAAAAAAAAAAAAAAATCCTGTTTACTTATTTCATCTGCACATGATTGGATAATGAAAGTGAATATTCACACAATTTATCGTGTAAAGATTCTCAACTTCTTTAGTAAATCAGCTCAACTAAATGTAACATATATCTAGACTTTAGAAGATAATAATAATAATAATAATAATGATAAAAAAATAAATAATACCAACAACATGTCATATCATTTCTACTGAAATGCAATCCATTAACAGTTGGCTACTATTACCATGCAATGTAATGGTCTAATATTTATTGAAATCAGAACTGCAAACTTGTTTAATTTAAAATGCAATCATTCAGTCCATTTTACATGTGATAATAACATAATAGAGTGTGTGGTAGAGTATAGCTGTACGTTGCTGGAGTCAAGAAGAAGCAACTGAGATAATTGTTTTTACAAAGACTAATTCAAGTCCTTGTATAACTCCATTATGTTTCAATTATGCACTATAAATGAGATTTCAACAACACTTCTATTACTTTATCTATGTTTAATGATGAAGTGATAGCCGCAGTACATTTCTACTCATAACTCATGCAGGCTCTGTCATTAATAGCACAATTATGCAAATATTTGTATCACAATGTTAATGGTCTTAAGGCAGTAGTTTATACTCTAAAAATCTATATCAATTTGTAGTTTGTGTTATTCCACTCTAATTATAATCTCTTGGCAGCTTGCCATTCACAAACAGTTAGTAGACACTGAAAATATGTTTACACAAACCATACTAAGTGACAATGAGAAATTAAACATTAGCATCCAAATGTGACCAAACACTGTGTCACTGGGTCACACTGTGGACAGACACTAAAAAGTGATAAGACCTGTAATACTTATTTTTTCTCCCAATGCCCACATTAACAAGTGCGTGTATGTATGTATGTATGTATGTATGTATATATATATATTACACACACACATAAAAAATTTATAGATATTGAAAAAAAAGTATAAAAATCTGACATAAGATTAGAACCTAACGCTCATTTTTTGCCTAAAGGGCAAAAAACCTGCATTGGATTTTTGTTTTATGTTAAAGCGGACCTTTAAACTTAAAAATCAAATGACAGCCCTTAGCATTACCCGCAATCCAGATAAATGGAGATAGTTCATAGATTTATCTCAAATGAGTCTAAATGCTGTTTTATTGCACAATGGCAATGTTTTGCCATCTGTTCCTAAAGGGCATGCAGTCCACATGAAAGAAACATACAAAAACAATTCATCGTTCTATGTATGATTCCCCACAATAACATCATTGCTTATGAAGGAAAACTAGAAGAGCCCATTCACACTGTATGCAGTGACTGTCTTTTTTCAGCACCTGAACAATGCAGGTCATTGCTAGGGTACGTGGAAAACAACTGTTTCTACCACAACATGGGTGCGACGTGCAGTGTGGTGCGCACCTCAGATCACGCTGCTGTGCAGGGACCTGAATGCAAGGTAAATTTTGTACACTCCAAATAAAGTCAAAAAAATACAAATTCATCAGGGTGATGTGCTGAGATTTTTTTTTATGAGAAAGGATTCTCACAGCACTGTGTCCTTTTTTAAGAGACAGTAAAGCAGCAAATGCTTGCCTGGAGCTCCACTTTGTAAAGTGGACTGATATTTTCGACAGAGCTGCCCAATAAGGTATGAATCACTTCTCTGACTTGCATGTGTGAATTTCAGCTTGGGCTACTGAGCTTTGTAAACAGCAGGTATTTACAACAAAGGAGCAAATAAGACAGCACGATGAAAGCACGTAAAAGAAGTCTAAAGCTCCAGCTGCTAGCTAAAATTAGGAATGTAAAATATTAATATGCAATATTTATCTTATAAAAGAAATGAAAAATATTTGTGACAGATTTTCCTCAGCCCTCCATTCCCTTTAAACATTTTCTGTTCTGATGACTTCCTGAAGACTTGTATGGCTTTTACTTTTTAATGTTACAGTATTTAAACCCTTGACGTAAAGCAGCCTGCAATGTAATTATTTAGCTCTTTATAATCTGATCATGGAACGTTTGGTTTATAATTGGATGTAGTCCTGTTCTGCACCACAACAGGTTTAATTCACAATGCTTATTATTGTTAGCTGATTTCAATGAGATTAGAGAATACCAGTCACATGGCTTAAAAAAATAATAGCGA